ATATGCTTACGTGCATATAGGCAACTAGTGTAGCATCACCCAATGTGGTAAATTATCCTCAACGATTATGTTTGATTTGGAAACAAGTTCTCTGCAACGAAATATTAACACAAAGCAATCCATGTTAGCTTTTGTTATTTGCTACATAAATTGAGGAATATCAAAGACACTAGTCTTATGTACGTATAGTTCCATTGGAGAAGATATTATTTCTGATATACGGCAAGTTGTTACGAAAACATATTCGCAAAGAAAATTTCTCTTTTTTCTTGACCAAGACCGGATGAACACGATGACGATAAGAGCTAACTACATTTGATTATTGCAATCGATTCGTAAAAAAATCGTTTAGTTTTGTTTTCCTGCACTTATTGGTCATTATCATTGTTCTAGCAATGTGAGAAGTATATTCAAGTTTAGTTGAGCTCACGTCAGTTAGATATATGCACGCGTAGGTATGAAACTATGATATTCTTAGTTTAGTCATAGGTACAAATCAGTAGCATTTTTCTCAGGATTCGACATTATAGGGTTGCATTGGACAGCAACACAGACTGTTTTATGTTCTAAAAACAAACATCTCAAATTTGATTGATCTATACGGCAGCTGTGCAATGAACAACGCAGTCAATTTTATTCTATTCAACAAAACCTCTATTGAATTTATGGCTATTTCAAAGCAATATTATATTTGAGTCTCTCCTTTGGATAACTCGAAAACAGAGTTGGAACTAAGAGAGAATAATGATATTGGATCGACCGCTAGGACACACTAATATATTGACGAGAGGTCCTTGATGTCAGCGAGACATTGGCTCTTACCAGAAAACTTTCTATTTGTTAAATAACCATGGATACCGACAGAATAGTTAGATAAATGATTGATTCTATGATATCTATGGTCTCTACACGAAAATTCGATTTTCGAAGCTAGAAGCTCGTTTATTGTACATAATGTCAGAAGTACTGATAGATATGTTTTCATATATACGATTTCACTAAAACGAGGAGTCACATATGTAGTGTACGCACGCCTATAATTAGTTTTTCCTTCAGTCGATTGTAAATTTAATTTAACTTTTGCTTCACCAAAACCTTCGACAGATTATGTTCATCCGTACGCAAGTAGGTTTGTATCTATTTAAAAGAAGTACTGTTCTATCATGATTGATTTATTATCTTCTTTCAATAAAATTGGGTTAGGATTACAAGAAGAAACACTCCACGTCTATATTTCTAACATTCGTAACGATCGAGGTTTTCATATTTGAGTACGTTGGCCACGCGAGTAGGAGGCTTCGACAAGATGTCACCATCGTCCTTGACGTGAAACTCCCAATTTCGAATCGGGCAATGGACATGCTCGAACGGATAATTGACTTCTAAAATTTTGCCATTGGCTTTTTTCACACGAATACAAGTTATAATCTTGACCCATTTACAGTACGAATCGGGAAGATCAGGCTGAAAGAATTGTCGAGGAAAGTAGTGTTCAGCATTGCCAGGGATGATGACATTGACTATTTCGTCGAACTTGTCCTCCCCTGGACATCCGTCGTACTTGAGACTACATTCAATCGGTTGAGCAGTACGGTTGACAACGAAGCATGAGTAAACATGAGGTGGAACACGAGGCATTTTGAACGACGTTGATTTATTGCCAAAATCGTCGATGAAATGATTAGTTTTCAGAAGCTCATCATTATGGATGGTGCTCTTGACAATAGACATGATTATTATACTAAAAAAGAACAAAACATCTGTAGTAGTAGAAGTTGACAGCGCTTAGAGGTTAACAAAAGTCATGCAATAAAAATATAAACCAAGAACTCTTAATCAATCCATGTAGTTTTTCTACGATGACAATAGTAACAAATTATTATCTTATTTGAAAGAGACGTAAGGTGAATATTTTCCAGTAAACAAGGAAACTAGTAACATGAGAAAACTCAAACTGTTGGTTACATTCTTATCATCACAACAAAAGAAGATAATATCTTAGAGTGGGAGTGACATAGCGATTCTCGCATTTGATTAGAAAAGATAGTTGTTTGATGAATATTGCATGGTTGAGAAAAATAAAGCACAAGTTCATAAAAGTCACTTCAAATGAGTTGCCGTGCTGGTACTCCTGACCAAACTGTATTGAAGTTCAATTGATCATTCTTCATGACAAGTGTGAATGGAAGAAGACGATTTCGTCCATGGAGTATTGATCCTGAGAGAACATTTGAACGACTCATGAGCACACTTGAATGATTCACCACGACAGGGGCCACTTTGTACAGGCGTTGTTCGAATGTGCGACACTAAAGAAAAAGTATAAACAAAAATGAAGATGAAAATTTAGCACAACGATGTATCACCTGAATAGAGGCGGCCATGTTGAGACGAACATGATCACCGATGGTCACCAAGTGAGGATCCGTAAGAGAAGTGATATCTGGTACAATAACGTCCCGTCCGATGCGTGCGCCAAGTATGCGCAGTAAAACAATAAGATATTGTGTGCGTGATAGAAAAGGACTGATAAAAGCGTTGAATTCACTCATAAATGTACGGAGAAATTGATTTGTGAGATTGATGATTTCCGTAAAAGTAGAAATTGTTTTTTTCCGCGTTTGTAAACTTAAATAGTGGTACATAGTACAGAAGAGAGCTGCTTGAACAAAAATAGCGACGACAGTTGGGAACAGCCAATATATACTGATGAGTAGATATTTGGTGATCAAGAAAATCAAACAAGAAGACACAAGAGTGTGTAAAAACTGGAAGCGACATAACGATGCGTCACATACAGGTTTCTTTGTTTCTTCGGGCATCACGAACGGCATGTGACGGCCTGGAATTCCGAGCAGTACCGTACTGCCGTAAGAACTATCAGTTTTTCTTGTGACTCGTGTCAAATTGCCCACCATTGTATCAGATGCGAGCAACGTACCCGGTAACAGTGTGCATCCATTGCCAAGAGTGGCATCAGGCCCAAGAATAATTTTGTCAACATAAAGATCACCCGTGTGTGAAATTTCAAACGGAGAAAGTGTAACTCCACCAAACGTCGTTACACCGCGTTGGAGTTTGAGAAGATTTGATGGAAAACGCAGAATCGGTTGGAATTCAGCCAGTCTAACATTACTTTCTATATCGGCTCCCAGCCAACGAAGAAGAACATTGGCAATTGCATCGTACGCTGGTAACATTTCGTACGAACGGTGAAATGATGATATCAGTAATTGACGCAACCATAACCGACGTAAGAAGTAGTAAGAATTGACTGGATAGATGCCCGGTGTGACGGAACCTACGATAAACTTCAATGAGAACAATACCATGAATAGGCATCCTATCATCCAAAACAGCAAACTTAAAGCAAGGCTCATCGGTGTTGACACCAAGAAGACCGAACAGAGTTGATAAATAAGGTTAGTTAAAGTCAGAAGAACTCCATGGGTGACAAACAGACAGAGCAGACATGTGACTTGATAGAGTATTTGGTCCCATGAGAAGGATCGGTTCTTGATAGAAGTACGTTTCACTGTTGGTAGAAGACAACCTGTTACCGAAGACATGGGATCGACGTGAACATGATCTTGGATCTCGACCTCTCCGTAAAGCACAGAACGTGCACCAATCGAGCAATGTGACCCAATACGAACCGGATGAAGCTCGTACGTTCGATCATAATAGGATAGATTAGAAATTATAATTTCACTATCGACGAACGTTGATTCGCCTAGGTCGAGTAACCAAGGTGCATCAATCAATGTTGAATAAATATGGGTGCCAGAGCCGATTCGTGCACCACACAGTCGTAGATAAGAATTGTAGAAAGGTGTCCCAACTAAGTGCTGCAACCAGTATGAATTGTTGATGGACCATAAGCGCTCCAGAAACCACAATCGATAAAACCGCCACGAATATAACTTATCGACATTCCGCAATTTGTCTGCCGGCCAAACTACCAAACGTTGACAAATCACATATGATAATAAATGGAACACCGGCACGAGCAAAAAAGCCAGCTGACACTCAGAACGATACGCCCACCACATAGGATATAGCCATTGGCAAAACAGCAATAGAATTCCTAGTGCTTCAATACACAAAGATGGCATTGGTCGAGGGTGATCGGCGCACAACTGTGGCATCGCTGGTGTCACATCCATCTGTTCTTTTACATCCAACAATGGTTGAAGAACACAGGCGAGTTGTCTCACAGACGGGTTGTCGTAAAGAACGCTAATTCCAACTGTTTTACAAATTTCCTCCCTAATCAAAGAGAGTGCCACAACAGCGTCCAAAGATGTACCGCCAACTCTCCCAAAAGGCACATTGACACTAAGCGATTCGACATGAAATGCTCGAGCAAATACGGACACTAGGCGTTCCTCAAGCGGTGTCGACGGAAGACAGTCGTCATCATGCACATCATGTTGCCATGAAAAGTCTGGTGTTGGGAGTCGTTTTCGATCTAATTTTCCATTTGCATTCAATGGTAGCTGTTCGACTATGATAAACATTGATGGTACCATAAACGGCGGCAGATGAGATCGGCAATACTGTCGAAGTCGTTCCTCATTCATATTATTACTTTGAATATAGGCAACCAAGTGATCATCATCATGCTTGACAACGACACAGCGAGAAACGTCTGATGATGCTTGAAGCAAACATCTTTCGATTTCACCAAGTTCAATGCGTTGTCCATGTAGTTTCACTTGATGATCTTTTCTACCAACGTAGTACAGTACACCATGGCTATCGAAATGCACGAGGTCTCCAGTTCCATAAAACTGCTCACCATCAATGTCAACAAGTGCTTTCTCTGTCAATTCATTACGTCCAAGATAACCAGCAAAGACACCCACACCTCCCACGAACAGTTCGCCTTCTTGACCAGTGAACACAGGTTGTGAGAAATCATCAAGAATCACACATCGATATCCTGGAAGCAGACTACCAATTGGTACGGTCATTGTATCCGTTGCCTGAACAACAGAATAATAAGTCGTAATCATGGTTGCCTCTGCAGGACCATACAAATTCCATATTCGACACGTTTCTCCTACACTGCTCCGTAATAGGTCGACCAAATTTCTAGGAAAAGTTTCACCTACAATTAAAAAACCATAAAATACAATCACAATCAAGGAATATCGAAAAACCTACCACCAGAGCAAACTGTTTGTAGTGTTCTCAATAAATCAATATTGCTATTTCCTTTAACGTAACTGAAGAAGGCAGCGAGCAGAGTAGGAACGCTATCCATGTAAGTTATGTGATGCACCATGAGAACATTGCTAAGATATTCGAAATCCATATGGCCATGAGGACAAAGCATCACTAATGTACCACCAACAATCAATGTTCCTACAATGTCTTCTAGATGTCCATCGAATGAGCATGGTGTCATTTGAACAACTGTATCTTCTTCACTGAGTATACCGACTTCACTGATGGAACGAATTGCTTCAATGAAATTTTGATGACGAATTTGAGCCTTTCAATATGGCAAGCATTATATAACAATATAGCCAAACAAACAAATATAGATCACTTACTGCTTTTGGTGTGCCTGTCGAACCACTAGTAAAAAGAACATAAGCTATACTATCACGATCCATAGCAACATTAGTCAGACGACTCAGATCAA